GAAGGAAACTACATGAAATGTTCAAGGTGTTTGATGTACAAATCTGCTCCATTCTCCTTTGGTCCAAATACTTTCACATAACCTTCTGTCTTAAATGTCAAGAAGCTTGAGTGAAAGAAGGAAAATTATTGTTTGTTGCTTAAGTGCCAAATATGAATTTACATGCCTGCAACCATATAACTGTTCATAGGTCCAGTGCAGAACAAGAGCTAAAAACCTCCTATGCAGGTTATATGTTTAATTTCACAATAGGAGTGACAAAAGAGTATCTACAGAATAAGGAATACGAAGAATCATGGCCATCACATTACACTTTATAATAGTTCCAAGACACAAAATGATCCATGCAAAATACTCACTGTAGATTAGTATAAAGATTCTGAATCAATACTTTTGCAATTGTTTCAGTGACCTAATATTAAGATACATAAATTACAAAAAATAAGAATTTTATAAAGGATAAAAAAGAAACTTCATGAAAAATAAATGTCAACTGACAAATTGTTATGTTATTTATTAAAAAGCTGACATTTTCATCAAGCCTGAAACATGAAAAGAGTAGCCCTCTCAGCAAAAAAATTTTCTCTGAAAAATTATAAAATGCTAATGCATTGCCATGGTGCAAAAGATATTCCTTTTTCAAAATGTCAAATGTAAAATAAATGGAATTCAAGTACGCCATGTCATTTTTTTCAGGTGTTATAATTTGAAAACAGGAGAGGAACTGGTTTTCCTTCTATATATATATATATATATATATATATATATATATATATATATATATATATATATCATTATGTATGTGTGTGTGTGTATATATATATATATATATATATATATATATATATATATATCATTAAGTTGGGGGCACCTGAAAGACCAGAGACTTCATTAAAAAGGTAGAGAGATATTTAAAAGAAGTAATTTGAAGAAATGAATGATTGGGATGATGAGGGAATTTAAAATAACAAAGCTCCATAATTTGCAATTATATCTGCTCCATCAGTGCAGATAGGGTAAGTGTATTTCTTCCCTTAATGTCATTTTGTAGGTCCTCGGAAGCATGCCTTTTCTGTTGCAGTCCCCGTCTTACAGAACATCTTCTCCCCTGTGATCTGACAGGCCCCATCCCTTCCATCTATCAGGAGAGTATCTAAAATTCAGATGTGTACTTCAATGAACAGTGTGTTCATTATGGGGAAGGTATTTTGGGGACAGTTTGCATTGAAGAGAGATGGTGCTGAAAAACAAGAGGAAATCACATTGCTCCTTTTTGTGCCATGCACCAAAATTTGAAGGGCCACAAAAGGTTATAAAGCTAGAAGTTAAGTCAGGCCACTATCAAATTCCTACATAACCATGTAAAAAGGCTTGCCAATTACTCATGGTTTAGGAATTTGTCATCCATCTAATCTAGCCCTATGACCTTAACAGGTCTATAAATTTTAATAGCTGTAGACAAAGCATTAGCAACATATGCAGAATTGCCCAACAGACATATTTCTCAAAGGAACAGACATTTTCCCCTACCCCAACACTGAAACACTTCAAATACTTTGTGGCAGAAGAGAAGAAAGAGGAAGGACAAATATAAATGGCTGGCACAGCCTAAGAAAATAAAAGAAATACAACGGTGGAATATATACTTTCCCAATCTTGTGACCTTTAGCAAAGTTAAGCGTCAAGTGTTCAGTTCCACCCTTTAGGCTGGAAAAAATTCCACCTGGCAGCAAGAGCAGCCACCACTAGTCAGCATTAAGAATAAAGATTAGGTAAACCAAGGTCTAGCTTGTTATAAGGCAGTCTTTATGGTTTTGGGAGTATCAGATGGCCTACTTCAACTGGAGATGAAGTTTGGTGAAGGATAAGAAAGAAACAAGACAATGATGGGGAAAAGTGAGATACACAAAATCAACAAAATGGAGATTGATAGACTCTCCAAGTTTATTAGAGCAGATAAAATCACAATTACAAACCTCTTGGATTACTAACCTGACAAATTTTATCAGTTTCTTCTGCAACAGGAGAACAAGTTAAAACAAGAGCTGCTCAAAGAATCATGGACATATAAGCACAAAATGATAAAGCCACTGTTAATAAGGCTGGTAACCTGAAATAGCTGAGTAAATATAAACATACTTTTCAAATAGACAGCTATTTAAAGTTGCAATTGCCAAACATCTTAAGGAGATATTTGTGTGAGCGAGATTCAAACAGCTTGATACAATGGTCAGATATGGGAGATTGGACGTATCTGCATTTGCGGAGTGGTAGAAGACTTGGCTCACATATTATTTGATTGTTGTTTGTATAAGAGGGTGAGAGACAGGTACATAGGTTCATACATTAAACAAATGACCCATTGGGAACCCCATATTAAAACCTTATGTGTGGCCGGAAAACAACATTTAACACAGCGCAGTACTTGAGCAAAATGGTTTGACTGAGATCGACATACAGGTGAAACTCGAAAAATTAGAATATCGTGCAAAAGTTCATTTATTTCAGTAATGCAACTTAAAAGGTGAAACTAATATATGAGATAGACTCATTACATGCAAAGCAAGATAGTTCAAACCGTGATTTGTCATAATTGTGATGATTATGGCTTACCGCTCATGAAAACCCCAAATCCACAATCTCAGAAAATTAGAATATTGTGTAAAGGTTCAATATTCTAGGCTCAAAGTGTCCCACTCTAATCAGCTAATTAAGCCATAACACCTGCGAAGGGTTCCTGTGCTTGATTGGCCAGCAAACTCGCCTGACTTGAACCCCATAGAGAATCTATGGGGCATTGCCAAGAGAAAGATGAGAGACATGAGATGGAACAATGCAGAAGAGCTGAAGGCCATTACTGAAGCATCCTGGTCTTCCATAACACCTCAGCAGTGCCACAGACTGATAGCTTCCATGCCACGCTGCATTGAGGCAGTAAGTGCTGCTAAAGGGGCCCAAACCAAGTACTGAGTACATATGCATGCTTATACTTTTCAGAGGTCCTATATTGTTCTATGTACAATCCTTGTTTTATTGATTGCATGTAATATTCTAATTTTCTGAGATTGTGGATTTGGGGTTTTCATGAGCTGTAAGCCAAAATCATCACAATTATGACAAATCACGGCTTGAACTATCTTGCTTTGCTTGTAATGAGTCTATCTTATATGTTAGTTTCATCTTTTAAGTTGCATTACTGAAATAAATGAACTTTTCCACGATATTCTACTTTTTCGAGTTTCATCTGTATGTGGGACTGATTGGAGTAGATTGTACGGGTGATACTGAAATATAATTTTCTTATTTTACTGATCTATATATTAAATTATTTTACTCCAATTTCATTTTAAATTATTGTTTTTATAGAATTTTATTAATAATTTGTGTTTTGAACTCTATATTTTGATATGGCCTATGGACTAATCAATAAACTAATTAATCTGAAAAAAAAAGTGAGATACCAAAGTTACACTGTACAGTAGTCCTTAGCTTACAACCATGCGTTTAGCAACCCACAGCTGCAATGGTACTGAAAAAAGTGACTTACAATCAGTCTCACATGACTGCCACAGCCTCTCACACAGTCATGTGATCAAAATTTGGGTGCTTGGCAACTGGCATGTATTTATGACAGCTCAAGCATCCCAGAGTCATGTGATCACTGAATTTTCCAGCTAGCATCCCACAAGCAAAGTCAATGGGGGAAACCAATTTGCTTAATGACTGCATGATTCTCTTAGCAACTGCAATGTTTTGCTTAACAACTGTGGCAAGAAAGGTCATAAAATCGGCTGCGACTCACTTAACCATCTTGTTTAGTAATGTAAAATTCTGTAAATCGAAAACAATCAGTAATAATATTACGCTGGCAGCTAAATAAGTTGCATGACCCTTTGTGCTGTGCCTAAAACAGAGGGAATTTTTACAATTATATTACTTCAGCTTTCTTTAATTTTACAGAACTGTGAAGGTCATAAATATGAGAACTGGTCACAAAATTACTTCATCACCACAAGGATTACCCATACAGAAAATTGAAAATTCACTTTCATGAATCCAAAAGCAGTAGGAGCATAAAGATAATTAGATCATGCTAATCTGTCTAGGTATGCAACAACTCTAACCTTGTGACAGCATACATTATATTCTTCAGTGCCTGGGAAATAAGGTAAGTTTTTAAAAATCCACCCTATCAAGTGCCTGGCAAAAAAAAAAAAAAGATAAAGAATGTCATTTTACAGGAGAAATGTCAGTGCTCAAAATGGGAAGAAACAGCGTCCTTCCCGCTAAAATTCCAAATTTCTCATTCCAGATGGACAAGAGCGAGATGAGGCTACTTCCTGGCTGAGGAAATGCCCTCCACACATCCTTAGATACGCACCCTGCATGCCACTTCATGCGTCTTGCTGCAAAACCTGAAGTGTAACGCCGAGAAACTTGTACTTTCCTTTAACTACGCTGTACAGTGGAGCATGAAGCAGGCCAGGGACACACACCGTTAAACACAAGTACGCGCTTATAGCAGTTAGGAAACATTTCCCATTTGACATTAGAGTACTACTCTATTGCAGAGACGGAGATTTGTTTAAGGCCGAAGGGTAAAACGCGCTACCCAGTCGGTTTCAACCCGAGTACCAGACTGAATGCAACCCCAGAGGCAGCCTGAGAGATTCATATTGTTTTTCTGAGCCGAGCAATGTCCTTCACCGGGGGTTTTACCGAGAGAGGAAGGCAGTGGGACTCGGGTCGGGGGACCGGAAACTAAGCGATAGCTTAGAGAAACGGCGCAGGGAGAGAAGAAAAAGGTGCTGGTGCAAATACGTGGGAACGGGCATAGGCGCCCAAGACAAGCCAGAGGGTGATACAGCTGGGGGCAGAGAAGGCGACGGAGAGGAAACGGCTTTCTTTCAAGAGCAGCGAAGGGAAAGGGGACGTGGGAAGGGACCGTCGCGGAGCAGAGCTAGAGGAAAGCCTCGCTCGCGCAGTCCAGGGCGCCTCACCTGCGATCTCGGGCAGCCCACCGCAGCGAGTGTTCGTCGTCAGCCTTCTTCCCCTTTTCCCCGCCCCGTCGGCGCCTGCGCTTTGGAGACTCCCCGGGCGAACCCACGCGGCGGCCGAGTAGGAAGCGTCAGAAAAAAAGCCAACGGGATCCCGCGTGCTCCGGGCAGCTCCCTCTGCTGCCGCTGCCGCTGCTCCCCAAGTCCAGGCGGGGAAAGTGCGCCGCCCTCTAGCGCTGGAGGACCGGGAACCCCGGCTGAGCTCGAGGAGAAGGTCCTGTAATTTTTGTGAACTGGAGGTGGGGGTGGAGCCCGTGCCGAAGTTCGCCTTCTTTGCCGCGTGTGAAATATTGCGAAAGGAAAAAAAGCTTCTGGGCGTGTGCTGAAGGCTGGGTTGACAAGCAGGAATGAGAACTCTGGAGCTGCGGTTGCCAACTAACCGGACGAGCTATTCCGTCACAACGATTAGGAATTTGCAACGCGTAAGCAGCTCGTTTCCTTGTTAATTATAACCTCGCCGAAGGCCCTGGTTGTTGTGGGCTTAACCATTCATCGCGTCATAATGTGCAAACACACCGTTCAGAAACGAAGGCTGCATAATGCTGCTTGGTGACGATGTTAACGTTGGATGTGTCCCTAAGTACATATTTGCGGAGGCTGCATATTGCTGGAGATAAGTTTCGATGAACTTTCAATACAAAAGAACATCTGTAGCTCAGAGTTAAGCTTGGTGCTCTCTGAGCTGGATTGCTTGCAGACAGTTCATTACTAGATGGCTTTGCCAGGGCGTCCGAATGTCAGGAAGCAACCCCCGCCCCACTCCCTCGTCCAGATGATGTTACCTAGTCGGCTAGTGAAAGGTCTGCAAGCAAACAACCAAGCTCGGAGAGCAGCGAGGACTCCACAGTTCAGCGACGTGTTGACTTTTTAAGTGGAGCTTCACAATATGGCAAATCGGTAGCCTTGTGCAGAATGAACTCAATTGTTCACAAGTGAAATGGGAGACCTCAACTGCCGCCCATAGGTGGGCGGGGGGAGGGCATGTTTAATCCAAAGATTCATTTAGACCAGGGATCAGCAACCTTAAACATTCAAAGAGCCACCCGGAGCCACAAACCCCCTTTGGCATCTAAAATGAAGATAACACTGCATGTATTGTTTTTTACGTTTATGCTATGTATAAAAAAAATATAGTGTGTTGCATTTATGAAATCAATGAACTGCTACAGAGAAAACAAATTTTTATTTCTGAATGTAACGAAAACATTTTGAACTCCGAAAAAAAAGACACTGAAGGTTATTTTCAAATAAAATACTCAATGTCTATTTGAATCTTCCTCGTATTTATGAAATAAAAAGCCAAACTTAATTAAATTCAATTAGTAGTGAAAGCAAATGAATGTGCCCAAGTAGCATTAAACAGTTCTGTTTTCTTCTGAAACATTTATTTTCTTGGATTTATCCATGGTTGGCCTACCAGGGGTTGAAAAGCACAATAAATCTCATGCCAGTGGGTGTCGCACATTGGCAGTTGTGACGCATAATTTGAGCAACAGCCACAGCAGAGGGATGAAAGAGCCACATGCAGCTCTGGAGCCGCGGGTTGCCGACCCCTGATTTAGTCAAATGGAGGAGGAACATGGACATCTAATTGAATCTGAAAGACATTTCCAACTTTTTCCTACAAAAGTAATAAATAAGTACTGGATTTTGTAAGCTGCCAAGAATCCACTGGAATGAGTGGTTATATTAAATTTAATAAAATAATAATGTATAACAGTATTAGCAAAGCTAATTAAAAATAGATTAAATATTGTTCTGATAGACTTTGGCAGTAAGGGAAAGAATCAAAGAGCCAACAAAACAGTTTTAAACCATTTATTTCTAGTAATTAGAGTAGCTGTGTTAAAATGTGTGGCTACTTAGTGAAGTGTGTTCTGTTTTGGCTTAAAGCAGAGTAGAGCAGTGTTTCTCAACCTTGACAATTTTAAGGCATGTGGACTTCAACTCCCAGAATTCCACAGCCAGCATTGCTGGCTGTGGAATTCTGGGAGTTGAAGTCCACATGCCTTAAAATTGTCAAGGTTGAGAAACACTGGAGTAGAGGAACTTAACCTTGTCTCCATAAAGAATAGCATAGCTCTTTCTTTTTCCAATATCACTTTCTGTTTCTTCCTGCCTTCATCCTAAACAAATAGAAGGGACGTGACTTAATGTTTAAAAATCCTGGAATGATTCAAGACAAGATGCCAGTCAAATTGTTTGGAATAGCACAGAACTTTTTCGAAGTAGTTTTGCCCAAAATACCTACTTTTTTTTTCACGGTACAGAACAAAAGCCTGTATTGAATCTATTCTCAATGTAAACACAAAGAGAACACTAGAAATGGTATAGCATAACACTAGCAGAGGGTAGAATAGGATAATAATTCATTTTAAATTGCAACTTCAGAAATTATGTGCATAATTTGTAAAAAAAACTGATTTATTAAAAGCCAATTTCTTTACAATTTTGAACACTGTCATATTCCTTATAAATTCTGAACGAAAGTATTCCTTCAACTATCAGCATATTTCTTCATGCTCAAACATGAATTTACTCCTGATTAAGCATTCATGATTTATCTTTTCCCTTCTCTAATTTAGATAAGGGTGTGCATGGAACAGAAAATGCTTCCTTTTCAATGCAGAAAACACATGTTGTAGAAATTCTGCCAATCTATTCTGCGAACTGCAGTTCAGTGGAAACAAAGACCAGAAAATTTTTGCTGTTCTACAGTTCGGACAATACCAAACCTGCAGGAATCCTAGGAGAGTCTGCAGGGTGTAATCCACAAAGTCACCATGATGGCTGTTACATTGCATCACCTGGTTTTTGTGTGTGCTGTGATGCACATAATGACCAGGCAGAGCTTTAATCATACCATTGAAGTCACCTTTTTTACTTCTGGGATCATACTGCAGACACCGTCCCAGAATCCCAGAAGGAATCTTATCATGCCCAAGCTTTAGAAGGAAAAAGCTGCTACCAAGACAATAGTTAAGTAAAAGAAACCTGAGTTTGCGACAGAACTGTAATTTTGGAAAATATGTCAGACAAGATCCTTCCTAGTTCTCACAAAGGGGAGGGGAATGGGGGGGGGAAGAGCTTGGAGATTTGCATGATTTCAATTACTAGGTCTTAACTGCATAATAAGAGTAATGATTTGTTCTACCTTGAAGGGCTGAAAATGTTGCATAGCAAACAAGACAAACCTGTTGGGCATAAGTGTTCTGCCCCACTCTGCCCTGCTCAGCTGCTACCATCAATATGTATATGCATGTCTAGTGTCTGGGCACTGAATTTCTCATTGCCCCATCTCTCCACAATCTTTCAGTCCCTTTCCTTTCTTCCATTACCCATCGCTGCCAGTTTCCTTGTTTTTGCCCTTCTGAAATAATCAGCAAGAGGTGCTCAATACTTGAAATCCATAGTGTTGACTCTGCAAGAGTTTTCTTCTGATTCACTAAAAACTGTTTATTCCAAAGCATTTGTGGGTACAATTTACAATAGACCATTATAAAAATGTCGTCACTTGACAACTTCTGCATTCTGCTTGGAATACCAGTGCTCTGGGCCTGGGAACAGTTTGAATATTTGTTCCTTTTCCGCCTCTTCCTAAAACAGGTTGGCATGCGAAACTCTTAAGTAGCTATTGCAGAATATTTGTGTAATGGGAATCTAGAGATTATTGCTTGACAGTCCATAAATTGTAGGTGCCAGGCAGCATTTTGTAAGAATGATTCTTGTAAAGTCAGGGTATTTTTTTCTCTCTGAAAATTGTAGACTTAACACAGTTGAACTCAACTATCAAAGAAACAGATGTGACCGTCTAAATTTGACAGGGAAGTCAAGTTATTAAAACAACTTATTCCTGTAAAACAGGCATGTCAAACTCACGATGTCACGTGACATCGTGCAACGTATCGGGCCGGTTTTGCCATTGCCAGCAATGGGGTGGGCGTGGCTTCCACGTGATGCGTCCAGCCCGCAGGCCAGCAGTTTGACATCCCTGCTGTAAAAGGAGTCCCAATCACTAGTTAAATACAATGTTTAATCCTCAATCTGAGAAACAGCCCCCCCCCAAAAGCATACCTGGTAGTATATGTTGTGAAACTGTCAGAAACATTAAACAACTAAAATTTAGCTACAGTACAACACATTTGGTGTCAGACCGCAAAACCTGTCCAGAGAAGCTCACTTCAGCTTGTTCCAGAATGGAGACAATGCGGAGACAAGCAAACCTCTAATGGGAGACTTGTCTCTACCAGGAGAAATTTTACACCAACTAAAGTTTCTGGATGGTCCTTAGAGGCAATCCTATTTCAAGATTAACAGACATGCAGTTAAAAGGAGCATAAACTTCCAAACCGACTGGCAACCAATCTTACTAAAAATAATGGGTCTAATTCATCCATCAGCCTGGTTAGAATTGAGCTGTTGGCCACAAAGAATATCATTGAGAAAATCTGAGTATTGGTGACAAGGAACGCATATACTTTTGTTAATCTTATTTAAGAAAGTTTTCTAAATGTTCTATTCTGCCATCTTTGCATTGCAGTAATATGATTGGTCAGCCACATGACAAAACTTGTATTATATAAGATAACATAATCATATGACTGTTATTAGAAGACAGTTGTATTTGGCCAACACATTATTACTGCTTGCTTAATATTGTGAAAATGGCTTTAGGTGTTAGATATAGTTTGTGATGTGTCTATAATATTCAGGCTGATTTCATGGCTCCTGAAGTCAGAGCATAACAAATACAGTTATATTTTAGGTGGGGAAAGGCATGAAACAATATATATATATATATATATATATATATATATATATATATATATATATATATACATACACATACATACATACATACATACATACATACATACATACATATCAGATATGCAAGTAAAAATATGACTCTTGGGTATGTTCATGTTAAAATCAATCAACCCCCCCCAAGGACAATTAACACGCATTTCCCTACCGTATATTCATAACGTGTCCAAAGCCACAGCCAGACTGCTGGCCCCCCATGGCATAAGAGTGGCACATAAACCTGATCAGACCCTGCGGTCAAAGATCATGTGCCCCAAAGATCCCTTTCCCACCGCAGAAAGGTCTGCGGTGGTTTATAAAATTGATTGCATAGGTTGCCACAGTAATTATATAGGGGAAACATCAAAAAGGCTGAAGACCCGCCTACATGAACATAAGCTGGCAATCAAGAGGGGTGAGCAATACTCGCAGATCTGGTCGCATATGGCTGAAAGTGGCCATAACTTTGATTTTGACCACACACAAATCTTGGCCTGTGATGCCACAAAGGGGGGACCGCCTATTAAAGGAGGCCTGGTTTTCGGGGGAAAATTCCATTAATCGCCATATAGACATGTGCCCGGCACAATGGACCTTACAAACATGGCACATGAACCGTCGCTTGAACCGCTGGAGAAGATCTAGGCATCGATCACATGTGTGGGAGAAGAATAGGACACCCCCACACACACAACACAACCAAATGGACATTCCCTTGGCTTCGGACCAAGACGGTAGGACTCTGAAAAATCCCCCACAAATGACAAGCAGCCACCAGAAACCTGACTATCAACTATGGAATAACTTCCCGACGAACGGAGTGAGTGGAGGTGTTTTGACAACTGAATTGCAGCAGGAAAGAGAGAGAGCCCCCCCCCAATCGGTTCAATAGGAGAAATGCGAACGGAGATAATAACTGTGGGGGGAGGAATAGGAAATACAGCATACGATAGAACACTCGGACTACAGTCACACATGCCGGGGGGAATGATTTACCCCCCAGGGAGTGAAAAGGACACTCTCGTTATGCTAGTTGGGCTGAGTTGTGAGAGGGAGGGGAATAGCTCCATGGTGATTGATTCCTTGGGAGGACAGAAGATTATGAACGGAGCGTGCCTGAGAGATTCTCCGATGAAGGATGAGGACGGAACCCCCAAATGGGGTGAGCAACGGATTGACTGGTTACGAGCTAGGCAATGCCTTACTGACATGCACACACTCCGGAACGACTCCCCCCAAGAATATAGGGAGGAGAGTGATGATAGATCTAAGGGAGCGATGGAAAGGAATAGGAG